GGCAAGGAGCCGTGGCTGCAGCATGTCGAGAAACAAGCATAATATTGCGATAAATGTTCTTCACCAGGCTTTTCAGGCACAAGCTTTTCGGAGGGAAACTTTAAACGCACTAGAGAGTGTTCGCCAAAGGAGTACACTCTGTCCGCATGCACGGACAGAAGCTCACCACATCCACATGATGCCTGCGAATTAGCTATCAGATTGATAGCACTGTGCACGCAATTTGGGCGCGTGTTGTTGCACGGTATTTTCGCATCGAGGATGACGTTACATGGCGTATCGACGGACGAGTAGTTGCCGATGATCTTTTGACGCATGCGACTAGTGAAGAGTTCATGCTGCAGTGCTTCCTACCCGAACAGGGCATGGCAGTTGAGGGGATGTCGATGACTGGCATTGGAAGCCGAGTCGTCGTACTAGACACTTGAGCTCAAGTGACTCCACCAACATACGTTGGTGCTAACCTGCACTCTCGCATGCGACGAGTGCATTTGATTGCGAATACCGTCATCGTTGACGGCAAGGGCAATCTCAAAATTCGATGGCAGTTTGCTCAGCGCACGCCCCTCACCTCCATTGTGAATTTTGAATTTAGCAAACCATGACCACGTGCGACCGAGCTAGTATGGCGCCTTGCGACCGGGCGACTGTGCCTGTGAGTTTCCACCTCGCGGCCCTCGCGTCTGCAACTGCCCTCGGCGCTGTCGTCTTTGCAACAAAGAAAGGGACCAAGCTGCACGTGCTGCTCGGGCGCGCGACGACAGCAGCGATCGCGGCCACGTGCATCTCGAGCTTCCGCGTCAAGGAGCTTCGATCCCAAAAGGGCTGCCTCGGCTCGGTTCATGCGCTGAGTGCGCTCACGCTTGCGTCCCTGGCGCGCGGCATGTATGCCATTTCGACGCGCAAGGTCAAGGCGCACCAAAAGTTCATGGCCGGCTCAATGCTCGGCCTCCTCGGCATCGGTGCCCTCACGCTGCTCAAGCTCAGCACACGAACGCGTTCAGTGCAATAGTCTAGTGCGTTGGGAATTGAAGACACGTCTACGCACTTGAATATTTGGGATTTTGAACGTGGACTGGACCGTGTGAAATGGTGGAGTCAAAGTTGAGGCTACGAAAACTCTAATATGAGCCGGAACTTCTCCATTTGAGCAAAGCCGGTTCCTTTCCAACGGACAATCTCGGCGGCTAGACGGCAACTTGCATTGGTGGACAAACGCCAAAGTTGAAGTGGC